CACCTTGGCATGGGATGGCATGAGAAAACACAGGCTCAAAATCCCACTAGACCCTGAGACCAGCAGCTGCTCCTGGATTTACCACACAAACAAAGAGAGGAGGGGGGAGAAAATGCCCATAACCCTCCCACCCCACCCCCAACAAAAAATACCATCCAAAAACATGCTCTCCTGTTTCAAAATGCACTCTCACATCCAAACTGGCCCCTTCTCTCTCTCTCTCTCTTTTTTTTTACTCCACTTTAACAGCCCCAATGGCACAGACAGAAAAACGCATTAAAAGTTTCTGTTACCAAATTAGAAAGCAATGCCATTTGTAGGTGAGAGACAGGATTCACTGGACAATAAGGGCTGAAAATGCTGCGCCGGACAGCTTCATGTAAGTAGCCTATACACATTAAGCTGCCTACAAAGGCAAGTGGATATTAAAACTGTCTAGAACGGGGTATACCACGTCCCTATAATTCACAAAGCTTTGCCTAATGATTTCAGATCATTGTAAGAGAAGAAAAAAATTTCCTACTGCAACTAGTGAAATGCCCATATTTTTATCATGCTGCATTATAGAAGACACAATGACACGTAATTGGGATTGAGCGGCAGCAGAAAGTGAGGGAACACAGACCTGCATAGCTGCTGCTTTGGCAAACATGCCGTCTCATCTTCATTGGCTGACCCACACGACCTCAGAGGGACAAGCTGTGCCCAGCGCACCATGGCAGAAATATCTGAGAGACAACGGCTCTCACCAAGGATCGATTCAATATAATCTGCTGTATTTGTCAGAAAAATTATATCTCTGTGACAGCTTGCTATGAAACGCGTATGGACAGCTCATTAGTGCATTTAAATGTCATTCTTTCAAGTTAGAAAAAAGGAAAAAAGGAGCACATTTGCTCATTTTTGTTGTCCAAATTAGATGAATTAATCCATGAGGCTCACAGGAGTTATACAGACATTGTCAAAACTGAGATCTCGGCAGTGGGCAGCGGCCAAAGAAAGCTTACTTGTCAGGTGGCAAAGTTGAAGGCCCAGCCATTTGATTATGGGATGAAGCCCTCTGTTGTGCAATGGGACAAGCTGTCTATGTGAACACCCTACAAAGGCCAGAGTCCCCTGGTTAGCTCCCAGGACCATCAGATTTAGCCCGGTCAGTGTGTGACAGAGGAGCTGCAAACAGGATGACTGGCTGGTCCACTGACTGGTTGGCACGCTGGCTGTTTGGTTGGCTGAAAGGCTACATGACTGGCTGGCTGAATGACTGGACGGCTACCCAGATGGGTAGCTAGCTGGCTAGCTGGCTGGCTGACTGGCTCGTCACTGCTACTGCTGGAGGGGTGCAGACCCCATCTGGACTGAGCCGAGCCGGGCGCCGTTTGTTCATACTAACATACGCCTGCCTCACAGAGCCACACTAAATGTGAAAAATGTGGAATGAGCACGGGTGGCAGAGGAAAGACAAAAATGGGAAAGGGAACGCAAGGAGATGGGCTTAAAGAGGATGTGTTTTTGTTTGTGAAGAATAATAACCGAGGTGCGTTTGCCACTTATGTGAAAATACTGAAAGGATCCAGGCTCTTTAATGAATGGGCCACAGTCAAAGAAAGGTATTATTTTTGCCAAGTATTACTATCATTTTACTGATAATAACCAAATAATAATCACCAGGATTAATATCAAAGAAATTCAAAACTCTCCTTTGTCCACTCAAACCAGCAAAACACTTGGCTTTTGTAGCTCAACATTTTTTCTTCTTAACCCTTTAAATGACAAAAAAAGGATGAAAAAAAAACAGAAACCTACAAATTAACCAATATTATTAAGCAAATACTACCAGTTTGAATAATGTAATCCTTCAAAAAAAAAAATCCCCCCTTTATAAAATCGCTTTGTTAAATCCAGTGCCAAGCCTGTTATGATCACAAACTGGACCAATTACACAACAACGTAACACAGGCACTGAGCTCTGTGAGCAACTTGCAGTTAAGGTAATATCTTTTATAATATCTTTTATGATTTTGGCCAAGAAATGAGAAGCTGTGGCATCCTAAGGTTTTTTTTGTTTTTTTTTTACTTCCCCCTTTTTGACATTTTCAACCCCACATTTCCTTCTGCTTTTTAGGGAAGGTTTCTCCTCTTTGCCCACAGTTCTTCAGGCCAGAACGAAACGGGCCAGTTTTTCCATGGCCTCCGCCACTGGACTCTGTAGGTATGCGTCTAAATCATTTGAACAAGAGCGCATCTCATCTGTGTGCGCCATGCTCTGTCTTTCAGAAAATGACGACCTTTGTTCGCCAGGCTGGGCAACACGGCCTCTCCTCCTGCCCTCCTCCTGCCCTGCCCTCGCTGGGGAGAGCAGGAGGGGAATGAAAACCACCTCCGTTTTTATTAGTGAGGCCACGCACGGAGCAACAGCAACTGCCAAACACACAAAAACAAAGGGAAACCCATAAGAATTAAAACTATTAAACGCCAAAACAGAGAATAAAGACTGTAATTAGTGTAAATGTGATCATTACACCACAGGGTCGTGTATGCGAGGCTGACTGTCCTACTGTTAAAAGCACAGTGTGGTGACTAGAGCGCCATAAAATCAGGCCTGAGAATGAATAAGTTACATGGCACAAGATTCGGACTTTAAATACACGGCCTGAGCCATTTTGCTTCTTTAACTACTACTATTGAACACCTTGACAAACAGAGGTAAAAGCCACACCAAAGCCTCCCTGTGGCCCGTCTTTCAGTTCCAAACAACGCGCACTCTGGGTGTCCACAGTCCTGTAAAATTAAAACTCTCACTTAAGGGGGAAAAACCTACCTCAGTCATCGTCTTCAAAGGCCAACTATTATGTCCCCAACATCTGCTTAGCGTTAGTTTTGACTAACGACGGCAATCTGCGGAAGAACGCGCACTCGAGCTTTACCAAAGCTGCGCCTGAGCGGCCTACAGTATTATATGTTAAACAGGAAGGGTCAAAATGGATCCTAAAAGTCGAAGTGAGATATAGAGGAGGTCGTTAGCAAAAACAAAAACAAGAAAGCAGTGCAAAGTATAATAAAGGCAAAAATGTATCAA